AAATAATAAATAAATAATATATAATATAATAATATAAATTTATTTATGATTTATTATATAATTATTATATACAATTTATTATAGACTTTTCATTTCCTTTCCTAAAAAATTACATGGTTCTCAATCAAATTATGATTATTATAATTACTATTAATAAAAAATTAATAATATGATAGTTATAATAATATGGTTCTCGATATTAATTATTAATTATTAATATTAATATTGAAAAAGATTGATTCATTTTGTATTCACTTTTGACCTGCTTAAAGGGACGTTCTTACATCTTCTTGAACAATTATTTCTTTATGAACAGTTATTTCTTCAAAATTTATGGCTGCAGGATAAGCAATAAAATGATTGTTATGATAAATAATAAATTTATATATACCTTTTGACTTGCCTAAAGGGAACGTTGTTACATGTCACGCCCCAAAACCCGAATTCGCGACGCGACAAACACCGTGCACTCGTGAGAAGGTCCCACAAATGCACAAGACTCGGAACTTATCATACCACAATCTGATGCCACCAAAATCTCAAGGTCAAATCTCTTGTAACTAACAATCCATTCAATGAATTTATAAAATCTCCAATAAAAATCCAATTTACAAGATCATGATCTATATCTAAAATCTATATCTATCTCGAAATGGCTAGCCTTCTAACTCGTCACTTCCCGTGGTTTCCCCGTCTTCGATTTCACTTCCTGAAATGGTGAACAAGGAAAAACTATGAAATAAACTCAGTAAGTAAAATATGGAGTGCCTTTATTAAATTAAATTTATAGCATGCCAACAAATGCAATTACGAAAAACGGATATAGTACGGGAACGAAATAGACGTCTCCTCTATAGGTCATGGCCAGTGTTTAAACCTCCCACTAGCAGGCTACACTATTGCTGGTGTTTAACCCCCACTAGCAGGGTCATTCGGATGAACCGGTTCTATCAATAACATGTCGACATGTGCTAGCGTTTAACCCCCACTAGCAGGATCATCGATAACATAACCACATCGGAGACAAAACAGGCAGAAGTTAACAGAAAATCATTCTTTACAAATAACTTTCAGATCATCAGGGCAGTTCAGTAAGTTCCAAATAGGCATGCTAAACTTCAGAAAAACAATAAAATTCTCATTTTCATTCTAGAAAATAATACTTTTCATAAAAATCATCACAATTTTCATTTCAGTTAAATCACACTCAGATGCCGATAAAATCAATTTAAACATTGCCACCATCTCAAAAACAATTTAAAACATGCTTTACAATCGAAGGGCTCTACCATAATTTACTTACCTCGCTTGGCATAAACAGGAAACTCGACCCCAGAGTTCTAAGCCACAACTGCACCTAGTGTTCCAAATAAACATGTTCAGACCTCGCTAGAATATTAACACAACATCGCAATTTATGTCAATCTCTCATGACCGAACACCTCTAATTTTATTCTCATATAGAACTAAGCATTTCATCCACTTTATTATTGCCGGCAAAACCTCAAAAATACAATATTCATTTATTTATTTATTCTTTTCTTCTTTCCGAATTTTAACATTAATCCGGATTGGGTATACATATATATACACCAATTAAATACACACATTTACACATATTTATAGCTTTCCAACTCACGGGCAAACAATGGGGAGCATGGTTTTTTATTCAATTTTCCATCTTTGGCAAAGCAGTAGCTAATCAAGGAAATTTTCATAATTCGTTGCCACAATTTCCATCTACCCGTAATCAATCAAACAATTTCCTCAGGATAACTAAAATAGCATAAAAACAACTTCAAATAGCAAAAATGATTCCCGGGACAACTGCACAGAATTCTACCCGAATTAGCAACCCAAAACCTATTTTATGCTACCCACAATTATCCCATGTTTCTGCAGAAATTCGGACAGCACAACAGAGGGTTTTCAGACAACACAGGGCAGCAACAAATTGATAAAATTCGACAACACAAGGCAGTAATTAATTGATGAAATTTCAAGCTTGGAGGGTTGTTAACTTACCAGAATATTTCCAGCAATAGAAGCCGGATCTGGCGAGCTTGGCAGAGATCGGGAAAGGGAAGGGATGTCATGGGAGCTACCAAAATTG